ATCCCAATAGTTCAATTTCAACAGAAATATGTGAGAGGGCTTGAAGCAGATTAGCTTGTTCTGGTCTGGTTAAAATACCAATAAAGCTAGTTCAATTGTTTCTTTTGAATGAATGTAATATTGCAACACTACAAATTTCTTTGCCCAGTAATCTTTATTATTTAGTGGCACCCAAAAGTAATTAATATTGCTTAAAGGGGGCTAGAATGTTGCCTCTCTCACCCCACACCCAAATAGGTGAACAACACTGTAATTTCTTAAACTAGTTTTCAGGAATGAGGTTTTTTTCAGCCATTTAAATTTGTGAAAGAAGGGACAGGTTGGGTTCAGATAAGGGTGGATTAGGGGAAGGCTTATACAAATTAGAGGAAAAATGATCATCCTAACAAGCCAATTTTTATGTGTCTAATGCATTTATATGGACAGATTAGCTTTTGATTATTAGGTAAACTATCCTTGAAATTTTTTTCCTTTTTTCTTCCTTGCCTACTCTTGCAATTAAGTGATAGAATGTCTCTCTATGGTGTTCCTTCTGGTAGAAACAAAAATCTCAATGTGTGTTTAAGACAAAATCCTTGAGAACAGGGGTCATGGCCTTTTTATCAGTGTACCAGTGAGCACAGTGCCTTGCAAGTACTAGTTTTTAAATAAATACCTGAGTAGATAAATGATGCCTTTTTTTTTCCTTTTATGATACCATCACTCAGCTCAAAATACAGTATGTGTCAACCTAGGCTCAAAATAAAATAATTGTTGATTCCTCCTTGTCCTTCAGCCCCCAAATCAATTAGACACAGAATTCAGTTGTTACTTCTTTTGTAACATCTCTCAAATCCATTTCTTCTTACTGTAACCACCAATCTGATCTGCCACAGTCCTCAGGGACACAGTGAAGTGTCTCTCCCTGTTTGTCTGAGTCTCTTTCACACACACCTTGCCAAATCTTGTTTACTTACACACAATAGGTTGTAAGAGTTCAGTAATACTTCTTAGAACATTGGTCACAATTTTCCTGTGTTGCTGATATGGAATTACTCCTCTATGATTGCTTAAGAGATTTTTATTTTATTTTATTTTATTATTTTAATTTAATTTTATTATGTTATGTTAATCACCATACATTACAGCATTAGTTTTTTTTAAATTTTTTTAAATTTTTTATTGTTATGTTAATCACCATACATTACATCATTAGTTTTTGATGTAGTGTTCCATGATCCATTGTTTGCGTATAATACCCAGTGCTCCATTCAATATGTGCCCTCTTTAATACCCATCACCAGGCTAACCCATCCCTCCACCCCCCTCCCCTCTAGAACCCTCAGTTTGTTTCTTAGAGTCCATGGTCTCTATGGTTCGTCTCCCTCTCCGATTTCCCCTCCTTCATTTTTCCCTTCCTACTATCTTCTTTTTTTTTTTAACATGTAATGTATTATTTGTTTAGAGGTACAGGTCTGTGATTCAACAGTCTTACACAATTCACTGTGCTCACCATAGCACATACCCTCCCAATGTCTATCACCCAGCCACCCCATCCCTCCCAACCCCCACCACTCCAGCAACCCTCAGTTTGTTTCCTGAGATTAATAGTTCCTCATATCGGTGAGATCATATGATACATGTCTTTCTCTAATTGACTTATTTCGCTTAGCATAATACTTTCTAGTTTTATCCACGTCATTGCAAATGGCAAGTTTTCGGTTTTTTGATGGCTGCATAATATTCCATTGTGTATATATATATATATATATATATATATATATATATATATATCACATCTTCTTTATCCATTCATCTGTTGATGGACATCTTGGCTCTTCCCATAGTTTGGCTATTGTGGACATTGCTGCTATAAACATTGGGGTGCTCATACCCCTTCGGACCACTACATTTGTAACTTTGGAGTAAATACCCAGTAGTGCAATTGCTGGGTCATAAGATATTTTTAAACAATTTTTTTTTAGAATTTTCATCATTTCCATCCCCCCCTGCTTAAATTAAATTTCTGAGTATTGAGTCTGCATTTGAACTTTTCTTCTAATTTGTTTGATTCTTGAAATGATGACTCCAAGTCTATTTACTACCAAATGCCGTAATGGCTTATCTATCTACCTGTCATCTATCATCTATCTATATCTATTCATCTCTTTATTTCTCCTATTCATTTACCCCAAAACAAAAGTTTATAATAAAAACAATTCTAAAATATGACAGTTAAAATAAATATCGAATTAGCAATAAAAGTCTGTTAATGATATGCCCACCATTTCAAGAGTTTTACGTGTCTACTGAGATCCATCCATGGAATCAAGATTAATATCTGATTTTGGGGAAGAACAGAAGATAATTTTAGTGGTTGGGACATGGAACAAGGAATTTGAAACAGTAAATTCAGCTCTGAACTAGAGTGGGGAAAAGATAAATGTGGTTGTCTACTCTGTCTCATTGTCAGGCAGCACTACTGTATGATCATCACACTATTCTTTAAAGCAGCTGATCTATCCTTCTCAGCCTTTTGGCTCAGATCAAGTGTAAAGCAGCTGATCTTCTGACTACCTCCTTTTGATGGGATAGGAATTCAGTCTATTCCTTTCCAGTAATCTATCTTCATGGTATTGAGTCTTTCCTGCTCAACTCTAATTTTCAATTGCTTATGGCCTGTTCATGACACTTCCCAACTCCAAATTCTTATTAACTCATGCTTGGATTATTACAATACTCCTAAATGGTTTCCTTGCCTTCAGACTCACTTCCTCCCTAATTTATTTGTACACAATCTTCAGAAGATTTTGAGAGATAATATATTTGATTAGGGCCATCTCTAGTCCATCTAGTTCTTTTATAAAATTATTTAAAAAGTGTCCCTTTCAGTCTAATATTGTTTTCTGGTTAAAAGACCTGTATTTTGTGAGTTAGAAAATTACACAACCTCCTCCAGGTGAATCAGCACTGTGCTTAGGAACACTGTTTGGTTTGGATTTCAGCTCCCATGCACATCTTATATAGTCACTCTTCTGCATTGCACAATTATATGCAGTGTTCCTTCTTTTTTTTACATTATTTTTCTATGCTAAACATTTATTGAGGCCCCATGGCTTATGATAAATATTATAACCTTTTGATTTTTCTTCCATATAGACAGGTCCAAAATAATCTGGAAAGGAAAAGAGCCAAAAGCAAAAAAGGTCCCAGACAGCCACTTAAAATCTTGTACTCTCAAACTATAACTGCATCAAAAGTCAAAGTAACATTTTGGGGGGAATCAATGAGACCTATTCCAAAAATATCGCCCACTTTTTGATTTCAAAGCTTTGCTTTTTCTGAATTTAATGACGTTTTCAGACCTAAAGCTGTTGAAGTCGAATGGCTGTGAGTGAATCCTTCTAATGGGACCAGCCAATGTCAAGGTCATGAAATCCTGAATGTTTGTCTTTGAAATCTTTCAGTCCTTCCTGAGCATCTTTCTCCATGTTTACACATTTTATTCCTTTTCAACCCATGCACAAGGTTGCCCAAACAACACATTGCCAAAATGGTGTTAATAATTTAATGTGGAGGTGGGAAGGGGGAAGGGATAATTGTGTGATGGGCATTAAGGAGGGCACTTGATGTAATGAGCACTGGGTGTTATATGCAAATAATGAATCACTAAATTCTACCCCTTAAACTAATAATACAGTATATGTTAACTAATTGAATTTATTTTTTTTTATTTTTTTATTTCTTAGAGAGAGAGAGAACCAGCAGGGAGAGCTGCAGGCAGAGGGAGAGGGAGAAGCAGGCTCCCTGCTGAGCAAGTAGCCTGATATGGGACTGGATTTCAGACCTGGGATCATGACTTGACCTGAAGGCAGACACCTAATCAACTGAGCCACCCAGGCATCCACTAAATTGAATTTAATAAAGAATAATAAAAAAAGATACATGTGAAAAAGAAAAAAAAATCATGTGTTAAAATTAGCATTTTGAGGGGCACCTGGGTGGCTCAGTTGTTAAGTGTCTGCCTTCGGCTCAGGTCATGGTCCCAGGGTCCTGGGATCGAGCCCCACATCGGGATCCCTGCTCGTCAGGAAGCCAGCTTCTCCCTCCCACTCCTCCTGCTTGTGTTCCCTCTCGCTGTGTCTCTCTCTGTCAAATACATAAATAAAATCTTTAAAAATTAGCATTTTGATGAACACTGGGTGTTATATGCAACTAATGAATCATTGAACACTACATCAAAAACTAATGATGTACTTTATGTGGGCCAAATGAACATAACAGAAAAATAGCAGTTTCAATGACGTGTATAAAGAGAGCAATGCTTAATCCAAAGAATTTTAATCATCTTTATGGGAGGCATTAAGCATAATCTTTCCTTGATTTCCAAGGAAGTTCTTATCTTTACCACCCTTTAACACTTGAAACAGACAATATGGCATAGCATAGCAAGGTGATCTAAATACTTCAGCATGGCTTGGAAACATTTATCTTATTTGGCCAGCCTAAAAATTATATTTGACTTACATGCATGTATGCATAAACACCAGTTGCTTTTTTTTTTATAAAAAAGAAGAAAGATGATGATAAAGACAGGTGCATAAGTAGTTGGAAGCTTATTTCATTTTTGTCATATATTATTTTTCCAAGCACCATAGCAAAGACACATGACCTTTCAGGACACTAATAGAAAAAGCCATTGCATCCATGAGATCTAATGCTGTCTGGGGGAATAGTTTCTTCTGTAAATTTAGCAAGCCTCCTAAGAGTCTTCAGTGTAGTATGAATGAATTCCCCTAAGACGTAGATGCCTTCCAAGACTGTGAAGCATGAAGTCATGGGAAGGAGGAACAAAACATAAAGATAGACAATGGGGAATCATTGTAAAAAACAATATTTAATGTTTTCTGTTAAAAAAGAACATTTAAAAGACATTATAACTTATGTTTTATTTTATTTTTAAATAGCAAAATGACATTCTAACAGTTAAGCTGAATTTTGCACTTTAAACTTTCAGAATAGACTGAGAAAACTGGTAATACGTGGCAAATTAAAATCAGATACTCTGTTCCTGGTTGAAGTGTACAAATCATGGAAATTCTGAATTTATCAAAGCCAAAATTTCAATTTTCTTTTCCTACAATATCCTCGGAGGGGAATGCTTTCCAAAACAATTGAGTGATGCTGACGAAGAGTTCTACCTCCCATTAGAGGTAAAATCTTTTGTTTTGTTTTGTTTTCATTTTTTTTTGGTTTTGTTTTTCCTGTTTTACTGAATAAACTATGTTACTTCCTCTTGTAGCTATACATGCCTGCAGTTCTCTACAGGATATCTGGGTAGAAAGGGTAAGGTTCTTGGCTTTCTCTTAATACATTAAAAATTAGAACTTAAAAATCTCTGTGAATTGAAGATGACAATGAAAATTTCTGCTGCTTCCATCAAAATGTAATTCTGAATCTGCTAATATTTTACCTTTTGAGGGATGTATTGTTATGAAGTATGGAGATTCTCAGTAAGGAGATTATTTAGTGAGGTAATATCTATTTATAAGTTTAAGTGGTTAAAATGTTCACTGAAACTGCTGCATGTTTTGTGTAAGGAAATGTGGCTGTCTGAGGGAAAGCTCCTTTCTCTATAAGTTAATATGCTACTGATATAAACCAGGAGTCCAGACTTAAATACTGATCTTAACAAATATATGTTAAAATTAGGATAGTGGTTGATTAAACACAATTCTGTTAGTATGAGCAGTGTGTGTGTGGGGGGGGGACTTAAAATTTTAAATCCAGGGTTTTGCCAAACAAATTATGTGGCATTCGAGTGATAAATACATTTACATGCCTAAATCTTTTCATAAGATGAAACTTGATGTGTTTCTTTTGATTGGGACATTTCTCATACATTTATTTTGTGGTGGGACATAAAAGCTTCAAATAGTACAAAAAGATTTTCATCAAGCCCTAGAAGCTAGTACAGCTGTTAAATCTCAGAGGGGCTGATTCTCAATTTATGATGAACATTTCTTTGGATGTATTTTTAACTTGATAACATGGGAAATATTTTAGGAAGGGGTTCTAAGTAGGGTGCAGTCTTTGTTAGAAGGAATTCATTCCATTTTCCTTATTTGAAATAATAAAATAGCTGTTGCCCTTTAAAAAATCTGCTAATTTTACACGTGGAGTTTAATTCTTAAGTATGTGAGATTATTCAGAATATGTAAAATTATGTACATCCTGGAGAAGTTGGTACAAGTCATCTAACATATCAGTAAGATCTAATCATATTGATATCTTCTCATGACATGAGCAAAGTAGTATATTTTGTATATACTGAGTTCCCCCAGATTAAAAAGTTAGAGACACTAAGTTCCCTCTAAGTAAAAGATGACTCAATAAATATTTTTACTATAAAATATCAGGATAAAGACTTTATTGTACTACTAGTTTATTTTCCAGAAACAACACATAATTAACAGCTGTGGACTACATGAACATGACTCACAGGATGGCACTATCTGCATATTATGGTTGCCAAGTGGCATCATAATGTATATTGAAAGCGACTCTGCTTAATCACTCTGACCACAAGTATAGATGGATTTTTTCCTCCACCCAAGCAGTTTCAAAGTGGCTGAGATGCGACAGCATATGAAACACAAGCAGCCTAGGCAGCTGTAGGGATTTAGGAACCTTTAAAAGAGCTGAAAGTCCAAGCAATGCCCCTTGGACTGATCTTCCCCAGAAATTGTGTTTTGGCAGGACTATGAAGAAAACTTCCTCAGTAGACCTAAAAATTCTGGATTGAGTTTTTTCTTCCCAATCTTCCCCCAGCTACCAAGAAAGTTTACTAGGAGGATGTTGGTTATTTAACCAGCTTCTAAAGTTGGGTGAGAGGAGGGAGGACATTAATCATCTCTGTATCCCTAATGGCAAAGTTCAGCCTAAATCTGGTGCTGAGTGAGGACTAGGTATTTACTAAATGTAGAGCCCTAGGGGGAGGGAGGGTTTGCTTGTTAAATGGTTCTGTGCTGAGGTCTTGCTTTCTGCAGCTGGAAATGTGGGTGTCCAGGAATACTGAGAAATTCTTCACTAAAGCTTGAGACGGTTTTCCACTTGGTCAAAATTATTGTTCAAGATAGGAAAATAATGCATCTCTATAATTTTGAGGAGTATTAAATGATAGCATACTACTAGAATTAGACTTACTAATTGACAATAGCTTAAGCATGTTATTTTGAGACTGGGAGAAGTCACCCCTAACCTGATGTGTCTCCTAGCCCTACCTGTGTGTCTGCGTCCAACTAGAAATTCCACTATTGATAATTTATTACCAGAGATTACTTACTGCCTCTCTAATGCCTACTTCTTGAAATATAAATGCTTATGGGATAGGTAAAAAGCTAAGCTAATGTTAATTTGGAAAATGAATTTATGGGCTTCATTTATCAGCCAACTACTAGATTTTCTCAAAAAAGGAAGGTTGGTACTCCAGAAGGTATTAAGGAATTGGAAAGACTTCACTGGGCAGAAACAAACCCACAATTATATGGTCAATTAATCTTTGAAAAAAGAGCAAAGAATATGCAATAGGAAAAAGATAGTTTCTTCAACAAATGGTGTTGGGAAAGCTGCACAGCCACCTACAAAAGAATGAAATTGAATGACTTTCTTACACAATACACAAAAATAAATTCACTGCATCTGTATCTTTGGGGTAAATACCTAGTAGTGCAATTGCTGGGTCATAGAGTAGCTCTATTTTTAACATCTTGGATATCAGCCCTTTTGGTAATGTTATTTGCAAATATCTCTCCCATTCCGTGGGTTGCCTCTTAGTTTTGTTTTTCATGTTTCCTTTGCTGTCCAGAAGCTTTTTATCTTGATGAAGTCCCAAAAGTTCATTTTTGCTTTTGTTTCCCTTGCCTTTGGAGATGTGTTTTGAAAGAACTTACTGTGACCAATGTCAAAGAGGTTACTGCCTATGTTCTTTTCTAGGATTTTGATGGATTCCTTTCTTTTATCCACTTAGAGTTTATCATTGTGTATGGTATAAGGGAATGGTCCAGTTTCGTTCTTGTATATGTAGCTGTCCAATTTTCCCAGCACCACTTATTAAAGAGACTGTCTTTTTGCCATTGGATATTTTTTCCTTAATCCAAAGATTAGTAGACCATAAAGTTGAGGGTCCATTTCTGGAATCTCTATTCTGTTCCATTGGTCTATGTGTCTGTTTTTGTGCCAGTACCATGCTGTCTTGGTGATCATAGCTTTGTAATATAGCTTGAAGTCAGGCAATGTGATGCCCCAGCTTTGATTTTCTTTTTCAACATTCCCTTGGCGATTCAGGGTCTTTTCTGGTTCCATACAAATTTTACGATTGTTGGTTCCAGCCCCTTGAAAAATGCCAATGGTATTTTAATAGGGATGGCATTGAAAGTGTAAATTGCACTGGACAGGATAGACATTTTAAAACTATTTATTCTTCCAATCCATGAATATGGAATATTTTTCCACCTTTTTGTGTCTTCCTCAATTTCTTTCATAAGTGTTCTGTAGTTTCTAGAGTAGAGATCCTTTACCTCTTTCATTATGTTTATTCCTATGTATCTTATGGTTTTGTTGCTCTTGTAAATTGAATCAATTCCTTAATTTCTCTTTCTACAGTTACATTATTAGTGTATAGGAGAGCAACTGATTTCTGTGCATTCATTTTGTATCCTGCCACATTTGCTGAATTGCTATATGAGTTCTAGTAATTTGGGGATGGAGTCTTTTGGGTTTTCCACATAAAGTATCATGTCATCTGTGAAGAGGGAGAGTTTGACTTCTTTACCAATTTGGATGACTTTTATTTCTTTTTGTTGTCTGATTGCTGAGGCTAGGACTTCTAGCACAATGTTGAACAATAGTGGTGAGAGAGGGCATCCCTGTTGTGTTCCTGACCAGAGTTTTTCCCCATTGATAATGATATTCGATGTGGGCTTTTCATAGATGGTTTTTATGATATTGAGGAATGTTCCCTCTATCCATATACTCTGAAGAGTTTTAATCAGGAATGGATGTTGTATTTTGTCAAATGTTTTTTCCACATCAATTGAGAGGATCATATGGTTCTTGTCTTTTCTTTTATTGTTGTGCTCTATCATATTGATTGATTTGTGAATGTTGAACCACTCTTGCATTCCAGGAATAAAACCCACTTGATCATGGTGAATAATCCTTTTAATGTACTGTTGGATCCTATTGGCCAGGATCTTGTTGAGTATTTTGGCATCCATGTTCATCTGGGATATTGGTCTGTAATTCTCCTTTTTGATGGGATCTTTGCCTGGTTTTGGGATCAGAGTAATGCTGACCTCATAGAAGGAGTTTGGAGGTTTTCCTTCTGTTTCTATTTTTTTGGAACAGCTTCAGTAGAATAGATATTTCTTCTTTAAATGTTTGGTAGAAGTCTCCTGGGAAGCCATCTGGCCCTGGACTTTTGTTTTTTGGAAGGATTTTGATTACTGCTTCAATTTCGTTACTGGTTATTGGTCTATTCAGATTGTCTATTTCTTCCTGTTTCAGTCTTGGTAGTTTGTAAGTTTCCAGGAAGGCATCCATTTCTTCCAGGTTGCTTAATTTGTTGGCACATAGCTGCTGGTAATAATATCTAATAATTGTTTCTATTTCCTTGGTGTTACTCTTGATCTCTCCCCTTTCGTTCATGATTTTATTATTTTGGTTCCTCTCTCTTTTCTTTTGGATAAGTTTGGCCAGTGGTTTATTGATCTTATTAATTCTTTCAAAGAACGAGGTTCTAATTTCATTGATCTGTTCTACTGTTTTTCTGTTTTCTATTTCATTGGTTTCTGCTCTAATCTTTATGATTTCTTTTCTCCTGCTTGGTTTAGGTTTTATTTGCTCTTCTTTCTCCATCTCCTTTAGGTATAAGGTTAGCTTGTGCATTTGGGATTTTTCTAGTTTTCTGAGAGAGGCTTGGATGGGTATGTATTTCCCTCTTAGGACCGCCTTTGCAGTATACCATATGTTTTGGACCAAAGTGTTTCAATTCTTATTAGATTCTATGAATTGTTTAAGTTCTTCTTTAATTTCCTGGTTGACCCAATCATTCTTTAGCAAGATGCTCTTTAACTTCCAAGTGTTTGAATTCCTTCCAAATTATTTCTTGTGATTGAGTCCCAGTTTCAAGACACTGTGGTCTGATAACATG